TGCCTGTCCCCAGAGCATCCCCTGGCTGCCAGCCACCAGCTGCGAGCTGCATGGCCCTGCTGTCACGCCTGGCCCTGCCTCCGGATGCCTCACTGCAGCATGGGGGGAGGAATGGATCTTCCATGGGAAAGGAAAAATACACACTCGGGATCTGCCTGATAATGGGATTTTCCCAGGTAGAGAGAATGCTGAGAAGGGAGATGGAGGCAGAGCCGTGACTAACCAGGCTTGGGAGCACCTTCTGTCTCACAGCCAGGTGGCCCATCTGGTACCTGCCGCTGCTTCGAGGCAGGGATGTGATTTGTGGGTCCTGTAATGTTCCTGCATGGCTAGGAGCACACGGAGTCACTCTGCTGTCTCCAGAAAGGTAAATGGGAACCCTCACTGCTGCACCCCGTGTCTTTCTGGGAGGCAAGTCCCACTGAAGCACTTTCCTTTCCAGAACAGGAGGATGGTGATGAGATGGTTCATAGGGTTGGTCCTTTCCTCCCAGCCATCCCCAGCATGCCAAAGGGGCTGGAGATGTTGGCCATGTGTCTCATCTGCAGGAACAGCCTGGGATGCACACACAGCAGGGGGATGCCAGGAGCTGCTGCCTTGGGATTGCTGCAGAGCAAAGAGCTGCCGCAGCCTTTATGGTGCCGGGCTGTGCAAGTGCTGCATCAGCCCTGGGGATGGGGAGAAACAGCAAATGGACAGCATGAGGACAATGCAAGTGCTCGTGGAGGCTGGGACACACAGGGATGGCAGCACAGGACATCATAGAATACAACTTAGCGCTGGCAGTGCTGGCCTTTGAACCTGAAACTCACACTGCACTTTTGTAAGTGCACGACAGCACCAAAGGTGGGAATGCAGACTTTAACCCAGCACGGTGGAGAGCACAGGGGTCAGAACTCTCTTCCTACAGGCAGCACTTCTGCATTTGAGCAGCTTGGGCAGGAGTTTCTGTCCTGCTTACGGAGCCCTGAGCAAAGCAGGCTGTGAGGGTATGTCTGTGTGCAGCACATTCCTCACCTGGGCTGAACCTTCCCTGGGAGAAGCAGAGAAAACCGAAAGGCCAAGAGGATATCTGCACTGCAAACAGCCAAACAGCAGCCAAACAAAGGGAGGGCTGGGGAGAGGGTTTGTGTTTTAGTTAAATATCATTCACCTGGGCTTGGGAGCCGGAATTCTCTGTGCTGGGATGGCTGAGTTCTGGTAATTAATACTGGAGGTGTCTCAAGTGCAAACTGTGTCCCAGCTCCAGCAGCACCAACTCACCCAGCATCGCAGCTGCCCTGATTTCATCTGATGGATTTGAGAATGCAACATCGTTGGGGGGTGCTCAGATCAGAGTACCTTTGTCCCTCTCTCTCACTGATTTCTGCACTTTGCACTAGCCTGGGAAAAAGCCTGAGCAAGAACCACCGCAACCTTAAGCAATGATGTTGCAAGACTCAAACCTCTGCTCAGAGCTCACGAGGACTGTGGCCACCCATGCGAGGACTCAGCAGCTCATCCCTGCAGTCCTTACAGCGTCTGCTCTTCCCCAAAGGCCTTTTTCCTTGATGCTGTCCCCATCTCCACTGCGGTGCTGCTGGTGGGAACGGGCTGTCCCCAGCCTTAGCAGCACAAGCAGAGGGCACAGGGGGAAGCAGCTCACACCAACCGGCTCTTCTGGTTCCCTTTGTGATTCAGCCCAGCTGTGCACGGTGCCCAAAGGATCCTGCAGGAGCCTCCCTGCAAACTCAGCTGCAGCCCGGAGATGCCTTGGGCTCTGCCACCATTGGAGGCTAATCAGCCACCAGCTCCTTGCCAGTGCTTTTCCACGTCCCTCTGCAAACAGGGCTGTGTGCTCCGGGCTGGGAGCTCTGCAGGGAGCAGCAGCTCTGAGCTCCTGTCACCTCGCCCATGCTGACACAGCCACGAGCTCACACTTCAGGCCAGGTTAGAACCCGACAGGTCGGTTCTGCAGCAGCGAGCGAGGTTTAATGAGAAAACAGCAGCAAAGGACACTTTTTGCTTCCTGAAATAGCCTGACGTCGCTGGTTCTGAGCTTCGGGTAGGGCAAAGAAAAAGTACCAACCAACATCTCAAAGGCCGAGCAACACTTTGGCAACTTTTTCCCTTCTGGAAGCTGCTCTGGGATGTGAAAACAGCTTTGCAAAGCACAAGCTGAACCAGATCCTGCAGTGGCACGCAGGGATGCTCCCCACAAAGCAGCCCTCCCTGCAGCTGCAGCCCTGCCTGACCCAGCGCCCGCGGGTCACCGCCGCTCAGCCAACACTGCTTTCAAGAGCAGCGATGGAAAAACCCCACATCACAGCTGGGAGCACCTCTCCCTGCTGAGGATCTCAAAGCGCTTTGCAACCAAAGCTGAGAGGCCCAAGAGGTGGCCTGGGGACAGCAGACGGGAATTTGTCCCCGTGCAAAGGGAAGAAGTTGGGGAGAGGGGTTTCTGGCTTGCCAGCAGCCCCCATTCATGTTCACAGCTCAGAGCCATCAGTTGGCAGCAGGTTTGCATGGAGCCCTGCGCTCAATCCGTTCCAGATGATTGAGTCGATCGTGTTAAAGACACTGTAAGGGCCTCGTTATGGGTTTTACAGCAGGGAACTTTTATTTCCTTATCAGAAGGAAAGCTAACATTGTCAGAAGGTGGAGGCAGTGTACGTGGATAGGAACAGAATGAAACGGCACTGATTAGATGGGCCACGAAGGGTTTTCAGAGAAGCAGGCATTGCCTCCTGCCTTCCTCCCATCAGCTGCTATGCACCAAACAGCATTTTCCAAAAAAAATAAAACAGAAAATCCACAGATTAGGTGGATATATAAATAAAATAGAAAATCTAATTCACTTAGAGAATCCTAAGTTCCCCCCCTCCTCTTCAAGCAAGTGCCTGCATACAAAGCACACGCATGGTGCATAACATATATATGTATACCTTCAGCTTCTGTTAAATACACCCTCAGCTTCTCTGAGCACTGCCCTCCAAGGAACGACCTGCCTCAGCACAGCACCACACCTGTACCAGCCTGTGGTGCTCTGCGCAGCTCTGGATGCACCCATGGCACAAATAAGCCCATGAATGAATGAAAAAGATGAATGAATAAATACGAAACAGAGCAGCAGCCGTTCCTGGAGAGGTGCTGCATCCACCTTTCAGCCAAAAGCGTCACCCATGCAGGCTGTGGGGCACTCAGTGATCATTGGTGGGGTCAGGAAGGATGATCCTGCAGTGTTGCCTGTCTCTTTTGCATGGCAAGGCGCTGCTGGATGCACTGCTGCCTTATCCCAGAGGGACACTGCAAGACAAACTATGGGGCTTCTGCAGAGCAGAGGAGACTGACTGCTGGCAGCACAGCCACCAGAATGGACAAAAATAGACTTGGTGGGGTAAAGGAGTCTCCTGGGACAGAGCAAGGTGAAATGCCCTCAATCACTGCCTGTGTATTCTCATAGGGACTGGAGGAGGATGAAACCCTTCTGGGTTACCCGGAGCAGCAGTGCTGCACTCCCAGAGCCTTACAGAGGGCTACAGGGAGGTTCCTGCCTATGAGGAGAGCTGCATGGGAAGCTGGAAGCCTCCTTGCCAGGAGCAGAGCTGTGCCTGGGAGCACAGGGAGCCCCAGGCTGCCCCTTCCACAGCCTCTTTTTGCAGTGCTCAGCCGATCCCTTTGTCCTGGGAATACAGAAGCATACCCAGACCTGGATTCCATTCACTGTTAACCTCACCCCTCTCACAAACTCTTCCTGCTTTCTTGGCCAGCCACCTCCTGCCCCCATCTCACCTCTGTTTTCCCCCTACTTCAGTTGCTCAATGCAGCCCCCGTTTCCCACGTGCTGGGCGATACAATCTCCGGCTTTGCTTCCACAAAGAAACCCCGGAGCACCAGCCGATTGCTCCCGGCCAGCCCTCTTATCTCAGCCTTTGCAACCCACAGCTCGCAGCGCAGCCATTCCAGCTGCACATCCAGCAAGCTGTTCCCGAATTGCGGAGGAACGGACTCCAATTGCACCCTATCCTCATGCATGTCCTGCTGTCCGGCTGCAGACCGTTCCTCACGCAGGCACTCACTGTCCCTTACCGCTGCCCATGTGGCCGCAGCCACCGCTCCTAATCCGCTCCAGCCCCGACCCGAAAAGACGAGCAAGGCTTTCGTTTTCCTTTCCTAGCTCGTTCACCAGCGCTGTTTAAACCTAGATTGCTGGTCACCCTTCCGTACGAACGCCTCGGATAGCCCTCCCGAATGGCGTTAACCCTTTCGGCGCCGGAGCGAAAGAAGAGGCCCCCCACCATCACCACCTCCCCCCCCCCCCATCTTCCCCAAGGGCACTTCATGAAGTGGGTCACCCGTCCGCTGCCAACAGCTGTGCCAGAGCCCGGGGCAACGCCGAGCCCCGATGGGGAAACTCAGCCGGGAGGGCTCCAACGAGCCGGGGAACTGCAGATCCGCATCTTTGCCCATCTGCTCCATTCCGAGGAAGCAGAATGAGGCACGCCAAGTACAAAAGCAACGAAAGAAAGGTTTGAAACGCGGCAGCAGTCCAACCCCCCTGCAAAGAGCCCGTGGGAAGTGTGTGTATGTTCAGTACGGGGCGGGGGGGGGGATTTCTTCAGGGACAGCTGAAACCTCCTTCTCTCTTTCCGAAACATCTGTGCTCGCTCCCCAGCACCGGGTCCCTTCCCGGGAAGGCTGCCTGCTGTGCCTCGCTAGACGCTGCTCGATCCAAAGAGCAAACAAACCGCCTCAGCTCTCAGCACTCCCGAGCCCACTGCCTGCAGCTGCTTTCAAAACAGACGATCGTGTTGTTTCCTTTCCGGGCTAAAACCGGCCCCGGCTCTCTCCCGCCCTCAGGCAGATGCTTCCACACCTGCTCCAGAGGCGCACCCCCAAAAAGTCGACTCCGTCCTTCCCTGAGCTTCCCGCATCCCGAACCCCCCGGCACCCCCGAGCCCCGCAATCCCGACGTGATGCGGGGAGGGAGGGGAAGGGAGGGCCGGCCGGCAGAGGCTCACCTGGAAAGAGCGCGGCCGCCAGGATGCAAACTCCGATAGTCCACCAAGATGCACGGCAACTTGTCTGCAGCTGTGAAGCCATGAGAGTTCCTTCGAAGAAATGGGCGAGGGACGGTCTGGCAGCGTAGCTGAGCCCCCCACCCTCCCCGCCCCTGGTGATGCCGCTCAGGTCTGCTTAAAAAATAAAAATAAAGGCGCAGGAGGATAAAGAGGCGGTGCGCCCAGAAGCAGGAGGATGGGCGGCCGGAGGAGAGCTTCGCACATCCGCGGGGTCCCCGGGGCTCGACGGGGCCCCTTTGGGCGGCTGGGCAGCGCGGTGCCTCCCTCCGGTAGGGAGAAGGAGGGAAAGGGAAGAAAAACAAACAAACAAACAAAAATTAAAAAAAAAAAGAAAAGTGCGGGGGGTGGGGAGGGGGCAAAACAAATAAAGAGAGCTCTCCTCGGGTTGCTGCTGCTGCTGCTGCCGCCGAGCGCAGCGCGGCGGTGCCGTGATTCCAGCGGCGGGGCTCGGCAGCCCCCGCCCGCCGCCCGCCCTCCGCTTCCCGGGGCGCGGAGCTCCGGTAGAGGGGCGGCGGAGCTCAGGCGGCGGAGGAAAAGGAAAAGGGCCGATCGCGGAGCTCCATGGCCGGGCAGGGGGCGGGGGGGCTGCCCGGGTTGCAGGGCACCGCCGCCCGATCGCACACACGCACACACTCCTCCCGGGCGGGGCGGCGGCGGCGGCGGGCGGCAGCGTTCTCCCCCTCCCCGTGATGTCAGTGCTCGGAGGAGGCAGGGCGCTGAGTTAACTCTTTGCCTGCCCTGTGCGGAGTGCCGGAGAGCCGCCCGGTCTGTCCGCTGGAGCCTCGTGCTGTCAGCAGGGCGGCCGGCTTCTCCCCCGCCTCTCCTCGCCTTCCCTCCCTCCGGCTGCTGTCTTTTGTTCTGCGAAGCCCTGGGGAAGGGGATCCTTTCGCCCCGAGGTCTTCGAGCACCCGGGAGTTGAGGCTGTATGAATTTCAGTGGCAGCTGAAAGCCGCCTATGTAGCCATTCTTACACCTTCCGCATCGATCGCGTGGGATCTCAGCGTGCACTCATTGATAGATTTCCTTCGCGTGCGGATCCGAAGTAATACGTAGCGTTTTCACGGGGCCTGATGAAAGAAGGAGCTTGTTCTGGACGCGTCGATAAACGAGGGGATTCAGCAGCAGCCACAGGGGAGGAGGGAGGCACCGCTTTGCTGCGCATTGTGTCAGCCCTTATTTTGTGGACACTGACGCTGCTTTTGTGGATCTTTTGCTAAGGAGGTATTTAGGCTGCAAATGGCAGCTCCTGCGCTGCCCCGGCCTCAACGAGGATGCCGAACCCCAAACAAAGATGTGAACAACAATGACAACAACCGGCAACAAAGTCATGTTGATTTCAAGCTCCATTAGAACAACACGGGAACAAATCAATGCCTGGCAAGCAGAAAAGGACAGAAGCAGTGGGGAAGGATACCACACATGGTGGGGAAGGGAGGGGGCAGCCAGCAGCTACAGACAGATACCTCTAAGGACCCCTCCAGCAATCTCCTCCTCCTTTTAATTCCCTTAGAAGTTAATTCCTGTTCAAGGCAAGGATGGGCAGCTCTGTAACAAAGCGGATTAGCCAGATACGAGGTTTGTTCTAAAATAACAAAAGTTATTATGTAGTAATGAGGTACAATTAATAGATTCGCTGGCTTGAAGGCCAGCAGGAGCCCTCTGGGTGATGTGCTCGCAGAGCAGAGGTGCTGAGCTGCCCCAGGACCACTGCCTCCAACCCAGAGCTGCAGCCCGGAGTGCACAGCTCTTGTCCTCATGGACAAGCAAGGTACAGAGAGCCCTGGCCATCCTTGCAGCTGTTGTTTCAGCGGTTGGTTTTGCAGCCCTTGCAGCGTTTATCTGGCTAGTTTCACCTTTAATCCATAAAATCTCATTATTTCTTTTCCAGGCTCCATTTAAAGAGATACCTCTGATCAGAAATGCCTTCCTTGGGCAGGTCTCCTTGAGTGGCAATCAGGTCCCTTCAAGTCCCCCTCATTGCACAGCGTTCCAGCTTACACTTCTCCCAGTGTGATGCTCTCCCTTGAAGCACACAGCTGCAAGGTGCCTCTGCTCAGAGCTCAGGCTGTGCTTTGCTGCAAAGCCAGTGCAAGCAAGGCGGCTCTTCCCTGCTAGATTTGGGGTACAATTAGCATTTCCCTTCAAAAACAGGGGGAGATTTCATACAGCCTTGGGCCTTGGCCTCCCACATCACAGGTCTCCAACACTTGAGACAAAAACATGAATCCATTAACAGCAGCAGCAGAGCCTTGGCCTTGGTGCACCAGGCCCAACTTACCGAGCCAGAATGCATTATTTTCATGATCCTACACAAAGCAAAACCCATCACATTTGGCACAGTTCTGGCTGTTAACTTCTAAGATTTATTACACGGTGCCATGGGGCCCCTGTTCTGCAGCTTTTTGTGAGTCCAAAATTTCCGTGAAGCCCAAAGGGACTTCTGCAATGAGCAGGAAAGGCAGGAGCAGAATGCTTTGCTTTGGCAGTTTTTGTTATTTCTGAGGGAGGAAGATCATAATGTGTAACATATTTAATTGCATCATGCTTGGTTTCTTGATTTGGGGAGGTCTCCATGCTCACAGCCTCTGGGAGCTGAGGGGGCTGCCTTCTGCTGGGCTGGATCAGCTGGGTTGGCTCATTCCTTGCTTCTAACCCTGCTGGCAGAAGGATTTTGAGGTTCATCCCAGTCAAAGAATGGGAGCAGGAGGTGTCCTGCACGCTGAACTTACAGTGCAGGGGTTGCAAAGGTTGCCTGTCCTTCCCATTCCTGGTGCAGAGCAGTGATATTTACCCCTTCCTGACACGCAGGGAGTCTCCTTGCAGATGGCAGCCAGCCATCCGAGCAGGGACCCAAAAGCTGTACCAGCCCTTCCTACACCCCTGTGAAATCTGTTTTAGGCACAGATACTAGAAACTGTGTAGCAGCTTGGCGGGCCCTTCTATAAGTTGTCATGCTCATATACTTCTTGAAAATTGCAATTAAAGCATGAAACAACATTTGGCTAAAAAAAAAAAAAAAAAAAAAAAAAAGAAAAGAAAAAAAAAAAAAAGAAAGGAAAAGAAAAAAAAAACAAACTGGCTTGTAATGGAGCTCTGTTTTGTTCATCCAGCATTTCGGCTGTTCCGCCAGCACAAGTTTTCTGCTGATGCTGACATGTGAGGTAACGTCTCTACAGCAACCTGCTGCAAGAGGACATTCCATGTGCACCTCCCCAGCCCTGTCCCATTGGATGACACGGTGGAGCACAGCTTGCAGGGTGGTTTAGGGTGGGTTTTGCATGGCACAGCTCCTTTGGGAAGGGTCTTCCTTTGCAGGATGATGCACATCGCTCCCCACACGGCACACACATCACTCCCAGGCCTGAGCAGACTGCTGGGTTGGAGTCAGGGCATGACAGCTTGGCCACATCTTTGCAGACACAGCTTCTATCTGCTCCGGGGTTGGGGCACAATGGCTCTGGGCTGATGAATGGCCCCCAGCAGACCTCAGCTCTGCTTTGGAGGGCAGGAATTTCTCCACACCGTGAGGCTGATCCCCCCAGTGTGGTGCGATGTGGGGCTGTGCCTTGAGCTGGCGCTGCTTTCCATGCATGCCCACGCACCGTGCCCTGAAAGGCTCAGCAGGAACAGCCACCATATATTATTTTTAACGCCCATGATTACCAAAGGGGATTGGAAGGAGGGAAAAAGGGGGAGGGAGAAATTGCTCTTTTAAACATTCCTCTGAGTGGTTCTTTTTCTTTCAGCTGCTTTTGTTTGTTGAGGAGCCCACAGCAGAGGGCTGTCACCCCGAGCCAGGAGTGTGTGTGACACTCCCCGCACCCGGTGTGTGTTTGCTGCAGTGCTGATTACATTAACTCGTGTGTTTATAAACATTTGGAATTGGTGCAGAAAGCGGCGCTGAACGGAATTTTAAAGCCGGCATCAGTTTTATTTCTGCTTTTTCATCTGTGAACGCGCATAACACGTCTGCAGCGCAGTCAGCAATGAGGGATCAGAAGTGCAAAAGGGCTTCCAGAGCTGATTCTCTGCTCGGCTTCACTTCTAGGCTCTCTCACAGCCTCCTGCGTGGCCACACCAACATGCAAACGCGCAGAGGGCGGACGCTGCTGCAAATCTGCAAGCGCCACCTGTTTGTAAGGCAGTTCTGTGCTCCTGTCCTGCTGCTCTCTGCACGGAGAGATGAATTCAAGCTGAGCAGGCGAGGAAATTGCCTCCCAGTGAAGGGAAGCTGATGCAAGTTGTAAGCAGTCTGCAAACATTGGTGGGTTCGTGGGTTTTCTCTTCTGTCTCCCTCTGTGGAAGGGTTTATGACGGCCTTGCTGCAATGCTATGTGAGTGCCCTAACCCTCTTAATCCCCACAGCACCCCCTTGTGAGGCAGGAATTAAACCATAATCCTCATTATACATGAAGAAGCCCGCGGAGATTAGGAATCCCAGCCCTGCAGAATGCAGGTTGAGTTCTGCTATGGGATTTCAATGCAAGCCTGGGGGGGAAGGTGGGGGGCTTGGGAGAACTCCCCACTTCGGAAGCTCTTCACAATCCAACCAGCCACAAATTGGGCTGAATTCGGGTAGGAGTAACACTTGCTGCACACCCTTATCCCCAACCGCTGCCTGCTGCAGCTTTTCTGCTCTTTCCTTCTCGCCTTTCAGCCCCAACCCCACCTCGCTCACGGCACGGCGGAGCGGCGCAGCATCGGGACGGGTCGGCGACTCGCAGGGATACGAAACAACACGAACAGCCCCAGGAACCGACCCCAGACTGCTCCAAGCGCTGCCGCCGAGCACCATCTAGTGTCGGCCGGGCCGCTCCGCCCAGCTGCCCCCCGGGGCCGCGGGGACACGCAGCCCCGCTCCGCTGCACGGTGGGTCCGCGGTCTGCGTCTGCCCGGAGCGTCGCTTCGCTGCGAGGAGAGGCTTGCTGGAACGAGCTGTTGTCTTTTTCGGCATCCGGGAAGGAAGGGATGGGTCTGCTTTTCTCGCATGCAAGGCGTGCGGGCTTGCATTGGTGTATATCCGTGCATAGAGGTGCTGGGGTGGAAGGTGAAGTGCTGTGATGCAGTGGCACAGGGAAAGGAAACAGAAGGGAAATACAACATAAACAGTTCCAAGGGCACGTGTTCCCAGCATTGTCCTGCAAGGGAAATGGCCTCTTTTCCCATTTTCTCTCCAGTGCTGATGCATCTTCCACATTCATGCAAACCAATGCGTGCTGGAGCCCCGGCACAGCACGGTGCACACATGGTGCACAGCCCCAGCAGTACCTGTATCAGAATACAGCATGCTTTATTGAACAGCACCACAGCTCTGCCTTCCCTAGAGCCCTGGCTGTGTGTCTGCATGGCAGGGAAGGCAGGACACCGAGTCCCAGACCAGTGCCCAGAATAGCTGTGTGCCAGAGCAGTGCAGGAGATGCTGTGCGGTCAGCCATGAGGGAAAAGCCACAGAGAGGATTTCTTCTGAACTGGAAATTCATCGACACGCTCTGCTTTGGATTTGAATCAGGATCTTGCTGTAATTTCCAAGTGGAAATAAGCCTTTTGCATTCTGTAGTCGGACAAATGGGCTTCTCTTTGTGCATAAGCTCTGCTAAGAGCTGCTCTATGGATCACAGGGTGAGAAGTCAAGAGGCATGTGGGGCTGCCTC